TTTTATGCAGCTGTCAAATTCTCTATTTAATCCCTTTATTTCTTTAAATGTTTTTACTCTGTTTGAATGCTGGGCACAGTTTGTAATGTATGTACACAATGGTATTTTTTTCTATCGATGTTGACTTTTGCACATTTTTTGAAAATGTTTAATTTGTACACTGATTTAATACTCTGACCAACTGTTATGGAGTGTATGCAAAAACGTATGTGTGCAATGTACTACTGTCTTGAATGTATGAGGATTTTCTAATTCAGTATAAATGTATGTCAACTTCTGGCTTTATCTTGGTTGAGGAACTCAGGACATTAATGTTGCTTACTAGTTCCCCATTGTAGATCTAATCCAGCAACTTGGTTGCATCTAAGCAGCTTTGTCTCTCTCTTTCACACATGCACGCACACCCACATGCACACAAATAATTCCATTTGTGAACAGGGATTTCCCAGCTCACTTCATACTGTTGGAATATACCAGTCAGATATTGGCAATAGTTTGCAACATAATTGGTTTAAAATAGCAATTAACTGAGTTTTCTCTTTCCTGTCTTTAATGTAAGTCTTTTCACATTCAGTTTTGAGTGTTTTGAGTGGAAAATTGGCCAAATGCCAAATTGTTTCACCTGTGTGTGACGAGAGTGCATGCAAACTTTTCAGAAGTATGAAGCAACTAAGGAAACACTGCTTACATGAAACTTCATGCACTCATCAAAGCCTCTGTAAACTTTGAGTTGTGGCAAAGATATCTCACTTTCAAAAAATAAGGTATACAAAAATACCTTCTATGTACTGTGTTTTCTCTTTCCGACAGACTCCACAGATTCATTTCTACATTTTTAAATAATTCTTTTTTTAAAGGTACTGCATTTAGTTAGATAAATATATAAAAGCTTTGAAAGATAATTTACTAGATGAATATATTTTCAGCTGGCTGATGTTCAGAAAATATTTTTTTAATTTTTGTTTTTAACCATTCAAAATGTATTTGTATTTCCAGAATTGGACATGAATTGTATATTAAAACACTCTGGCTGGACAATGGTTTGGTTTGTCTTGTAAGGATTGTCTCTGTCTCTCTCTCTCTGTCCCTCTCTCTGTGTGTCCCCCCTCCCTCTCTCATCTCTCTCTCTTTCTCATTTTTTAAAAAAACCTGAAAAGTGTTTCCTTGATACGAAGAATAGTAATACTGCTCTGCAAAGCTGAAAGCAATCTTTGAATTTATAGCTGCTTGAAAAAATTGAGACACATAACCAGTCTTAAAAAAGTCAGATGATGTTTTTATTGCCTATTCCCTTTTGTTACAATGAATGTTATGTCTCCTTCTGGATCTGGGAAAATTAAAGCATATTGAGGGTACTAGCAGAATACCAATGTTTAAATTTAAGTTGACAACCTAGTTTTGAAAGGATCTTTGTATTAATGATTAAGACGTACCAACTGTAAGGTTGGGAAATAGAGCATTGGGGATATCAAGAATCGACATAAAACTGGTATTCTTTTTTTTAAGAGTGTACTAATGGCCTGGTATGGTGTGTTTTGTTCCATTGTTCATGCACATTAGGACTTTGTTATAGTGCTTGTACAAAATGTATAATTTTTAATTTTTTAAAAAATACGTATTTATCCATTATTTTCCTGCTGGTAAATGGCATTTTATTTTGGGGTCTTTATCAAATATAAAGTAAGCCATGCTTTATTATCTTGTGTTTGACCAAATTACTTTGTTTTATGAAATGTGTATATTGCTTGTACACATCTTCATTCAGAACGATTGTGCATGAGGACCTGCAAGAATTAATACAAGAAAGATTTTTTTTCTTTCCATGTTATTTCATTCTGGAAAGATTATGGTGCAAAGGTATACTGGATGTAACCTTATGAGCTTATGGAATGACTATAGATAATGGCACTTTTAAGTGTTAATAAAACAAATATTTATTTCCAATGTGTGTGTTCTATTTCAAAAAGTGTCTTAATAATATTTAGCTTCCATATACTGACTATAGTTTATACATATTTCAACAATTTTATAACAGTCTTGCAGATTAGGTTGCTTGCAGGTGGAAAGTTGCAATTCAGAATGGATTATAAACATGGATTTTGAATAAACTTCTGCTTCCAAAGTGAGATCCTATAGAAATTGACGTGGCCATAAATTTCACTGACTCTAATTTGTCATACTTGGGTTTTAAATTACAGTCTCATTCCTTTAATAAATATACTACACTATTCATTTAATATAGCACTTCTGTATACGATTTATAAAGTGTTTTGATGATTTCAATGTGTGTAATATTAAAACAACTATTTATGCAGGTAAGCCTTGAGTTACGACCAGTGGTTTTATAACCACTTGTAGTTATGAAGGCCTCTGAATGGGTGCTTTATAGCACAACTATTGTAAAATGTCACAACACTCCCCCCTTCACCCGTAGTAACATAACTGCATATCAAGTGCTTAGCTGGTTGCAACATCCCGCAGTCACATGACTGCAGTTTGTGACTTTTTTGCTGGTTTTACAAAAAAAAGCCCTAACAACTAGGTGTCTGTTAATGACACTTGTGAAAAATGTTGAAAAAAACACACCAATCACATGGATGCCTCGACTTACAACCACCATGATTCACAACCCAATTTCTGGTCCCAGCTGTGGTCATAAATTGAGAATTATTTGTACCGCACTTCTAGAATATCTAAGCAACATACACAGATTTATACTTGGCTCTAGCTGAAACAGTAGAGCACTATTTTAAACTAAATTCCTAATATTCCTGTAATCTTGTGCTTAATAAAAAAGATTTTTTATTCCTAGGCTAGCAATAATTCAAGATAAATGGTAGAGCAGCTTTTGAATTTGGTATTTAAGAAAATTTAAAATAAAACACATTTCAATATGTTTGGGCTTGTGCAGTATATTTACCCAAGTCTATTAGACTGATGCATTCACACAATTCAGTAAGTGTAATTTTAACCTTAGTTTGCTTTGTGTTTCAGTCTCATAGGCAAAACTGGCTATTTGTGGTTCAGTAAATTTTGAGAATCCAGGTAAAGCATGCTGTATGAACTCAGCCTGTTAGTGCATTTCCAATCTTTCTCCCTTGTACTGTTGTTACTATTACATGTATTACTTTGAAACAAGCAACATCAAGCCAAGTAAGGAAGAGAGAAGAAACATGGTCTGAAGAATTCCAAGCATCTTTGGGTCTTCAGGTATATTTAGTTTTTAAAAACTAAAACTGCAGCTGATGAGTGTAGCCTGTGCCAGATCAATCCAAAGACAAACTGAAGCTGAGCTTCCCACTAAGTACCCCCACTTCTCAGAAAACTGCCTACTTTTCTGACTAACCTTTTATTTTTGGTGGTGGATTTGGACTAGCGGGCACATTTGCAGACAAATCAGAGCTACAGCCAACTACTTTTAACCTTTAAAGATGCTTACGGGATCAAATGCATTCTTGGAAAGGACTAAGATTTTGTATTGCATTATACCATATTTTCATTTTTTTAAAGCAAAAATAAAATAGTGTCTGAGAAATATTCTCAGCCACTATGAGTAGAGACTTTAAAACACACCACAGACCTCCTTTGCATATGTAGTTCCCTGCTCTGAATTCAGCCTCATTTCTTGATGATTCCCTTAACATGAATTTTATTTTTAAATCTTTTGGAAAGTCATTCTCTTTTAAAGAGTGAATTCTTCAAAATAATACCCTGTGGGGAAAAAACCCACATTTGTAGTAACCTCTATGGTGAAATGTGGATCAGATAGTGCTGAGTTATACCGGAATGTTGGAATCCCTTTGGAATCTAGTGAGAGCTACTGAGTTGAGGCACAAAGTTGAAATGTTCTCAGAGTTGAAACTATTCTCCAAAGCGGGTCCCCAACCCGCCGGTCCACGGCATGCCAGAAACTGGTCTGTGCAAACAAGTGAAGCCCCATCCGCAGGATGTAGGCAGCACACAAAACCACACCCTCTCCGGTCCATGAAAAAACCTCTCTCCACAGAACCGGTGCCCAAAAGATTGGGGATCTCTGCTCCAAAGCACCAGAGGGCAGGACAAGAAACAATGGTTAGAAACTGACCAAAGAGAGAAGCAACCTGGAATTAAGAAGAAACTTCCTAACAGGACAATTAATCAGTAGAACAGCTTGCCTTCAGAAATATTGGGTGCCCTGGAGGTTTTTAAGGAAGTGATTAGAGTTAGACAGTCACTTGTCTGAAATGGTATAGGTTCTCCCAGGGGGCTGGACTAGAAGACCTCCAAGGTACCTTCCAACTCTATTCTATTCTATCCCTTTATTGGAAGGGTGGTGGTGGAGCACAGATCTTCTGTTCCAAGTCAACATTGTTAGGATATGATATCTCTGCTCTTCGGTGAAGAGACCATAAATTATATAGCTGATCTAAAAATAGCTTTTAGTATTTTCATAATTGGTATTTATTCTGCAAAAAGCAAAAAGCCCCTCTAATCCGAGCAAGAGTTGCTTCTTCTCCCCTCCCTTCCAGTCTCAGGGCTGTTTCATTGTGAACAGATGAAGGAGGAAAAATACCCAACCATTACTGACGGCTGAAGTCCTACATCCATTTCCCTCACAGCAATAGGTCTCATTGAATTAAAAAGACCTTGCTCGAATGCGAGGACATTACAAAGATTAAAAACGTTTCCAAGGGAAGAAGGTTCCTGCAGACCTGCCCTCGAGGGCGTTGTTCGACAATCATACGGAAGCTGCGAGGACATGAATTTCGGTTTTTCAATTTTCCATCCTTAATCCTGTTCACAGCCCTGAGATTTCCTGGAGGTCTCCCATCCCCAGTTCGCAAAGTTTTCGCTCTGCGTCCTGGGAGGATTTGTCCCGCCCGCTCCTTGCCGAGCGAGAAAGCGACCCAATCACAGACGACTGCAAATTCGGTTCCCTCCTCCCGGAGGTCCCCGTGATGACGTCACAGAGGAGGAGCCACCGGATTCGCTTTCTTCCGCTCCGGAAGCGGCGGGGACTAAGGGGAGATGCTCACGGGCGGTGCTGCGTCGCCGGAGCGCTTCAGAAATGGGCAAGAAGGAGCGAGGTAAGCCGTCGGCGCTTTCCTGGGACGCCCTTCGGCTTTGTCACCTTAGAATTGGAAGCTGTTTTGCTTCTGTGTTCGGGGAGCCAGGATCGTCTTCGGGGCGTTGCTTCTTCGACGGGGAAGTCCTTCAAGAGCTGGCGCCGTTGGGTTTCCCTCGTAGTCTTCCTCGCGAACCAAATGCCGGTTCTCTTATTCTTACAAAACGTACGCGCAGCTTTGCAGCGGTGATGCATTTGGCGACTAAACAGCACGTCCTTGTTTGAGATAAATCGGTGCTTCACGTACTCGACTTGTTCTCTCTTTAAAGCAAGACGTTGTTTTTGCACACTCATCTCTCCCCCCCCTTTTTTTTTTTGCTATAACCCAGTATAAGCCATTTTGTACGTATACACTTTCCCATGGAAAAATCTTCATATGCTCTCTGAATTATGGCAAGTCCTTGAATGAGATTTACGATGCAGTATCTCTTGTGACGTTTTTATTTTCTCTGTTTAGAGAAAAACATTCTCAGAGTAATAAGCCTAACTTTAATTGAATCTAAAGGAAAGCTGGTAATAATTTGTATAGCTGTATGTTTTGTCCTTGAATATTAACTAGGAAGTGGGAAGAAGCCTTGGAACAGCTAAAGCAATCCTTCCCAGCCTGGTTCACCTTAAGTGATCCCTATCTGTATACAAGAACAGCTACTTCTGAAGCCAGTACACTATGCTGACATTCATGGTTCCCTCAAAGTTTTGCATCAGGAAATAGCTCCATTTGTGTTGTCATTTGGCTGAAGGGAAAACAGTTGTGCAACTGCATGTGTGTTTAACTACGGTTGGTTTTCCAGATAAGAAGAAATCGAAAAAACGCCACTATGAGGAGGAAGAGGAAGAAGAATATGATCTTACAGGCAAAGAGTCCCAAGAAGCAGTTCCATCAGCTGCAGGGAAGCAAGTGGAAGATTCTGGGACCAAAGTTGATGAATATGGTGCAAAAGACTACAGGAACCAGATGCCACTCAAAGCTGATCATTCCTCACGCCCATTGTGGGTGGTAAGTCCTTTTAGATGCATTGCTTTTCAAAAAAAGTTTTGTTCAAAAAAAAGAAAATATATAGCTTATTGTTTCCTACCTGCTAGCTTCTAAATGTGATCCTATAAATAGTATCTCCATACCTATTTGATTCATGTGACAATGAGACCCAAGTTCTCTCTGCATTTCATATTACACATATTCATCTATTTTAAAGGAGCTGGAAGGAATGTTTGTGGTATGTTAGGCCCTTTTATTATAAGGTACCTAATTTTTGTGTGATTGTGATTGGTGTGTAGAGAGAGAGAATTAATTTCAAAAAGTCACCCATGTAAGCAGAAAGAATACTTTTGCTCTATGGATGAATTTTCTACGATGTTATATCAAACTTTTTATTCATTCTTTGAGTAGTCTTGTGAGAAATATCACTCTCCTCTTCAGATGGTTTGGAGATGTCATTTATGTTCAGAGTGTCTTTTTAATGACTCAGTTTAAGAACCTACAGTCCATGCCACCTCAGCCAGCATAGTCAATAATGAGAGATGCTGGGAGCTGTAACTTGATAATATCTAAAAGGCCACATATCCCCTCGCCTCACCACTAAAGCAGAAATACAAATACATTCACAAAATTGAATTGATTAGGGTAAATTCTTTTCCTTGCCTCATATTTAACAGCTTTGGTACATGTAGTTATTTTGGTCATCTTCAAAGTTTTTGTCTATTCTCTAGGCTCCTGATGGCCATATTTTCTTAGAAGCCTTTTCACCTGTGTACAAGTATGCCCAGGATTTTCTTGTGGCCATTGCTGAGCCAGTTTGCCGACCTACCCATGTCCATGAATATAAACTGACTGCTTACTCCCTGTATGCTGCTGTNGAATCTAGTGAGAGCTACTGAGTTGAGGCACAAAGTTGAAATGTTCTCAGAGTTGAAACTATTCTCCAAAGCGGGTCCCCAACCCGCCGGTCCACGGCATGCCAGAAACTGGTCTGTGCAAACAAGTGAAGCCCCATCCGCAGGATGTAGGCAGCACACAAAACCACACCCTCTCCGGTCCATGAAAAAACCTCTCTCCGCAGAACCGGTGCCCAAAAGATTGGGGACCTCTGCTGCAAAGCACCAGAGGGCAGGACAAGAAACAATGGTTAGAAACTGACCAAAGAGAGAAGCAACCTGGAATTAAGAAGAAACTTCCTAACAGGACAATTAATCAGTAGAACAGCTTGCCTTCAGAAATCGTGGGTGCCCTGGAGGTTTTTAAGGAAGTGATTAGAGTTAGACAGTCACTTGTCTGAAATGGTATAGGTTCTCCCAGGGGGCTGGACTAGAAGACCTCCAAGGTACCTTCCAACTCTATTCTATTCTATCCCTTTATTGCAGGGGTAGTCAACCTTGGCTCTTTTATGACTCGTGGACTTCAATTCCCAGAATTCCTGAGCCAGCTTAGCTGGCTCAGGAATTCTGGGAATTGAAGTCCACGAGTCATAAAAGAGCCAAGGTTGACTACCCCTGCTTTATTGGAAGGGTGGTGGTGGAGCACAGATCTTCTGTTCCAAGTCAACATTGTTAGGATATGATATCTCTGCTCTTCGGTGAAGAGACCATAAATTATATAGCTGATCTAAAAATAACTTAGTATTTTCATAATTGGTATTTATTCTGCAAAAAGCAAAAAGCCCCTCTAATCCGAGCTATGGGAGGCAAGAGTTGCTTCTTCTCCCCTCCCTTCCAGTCTCAGGGCTGTTTCATTGTGAACAGATGAAGGAGGAAAAATACCCAACCATTACTGATGGCTGAAGTCCTACATCCATTTCCCTCACAGCAATAGGTCTCATTGAATTAAAAAGACCTTGCTCGAATGCGAGGACATTACAAAGAGTAAAAACGTTTCCAAGGGAAGAAGGTTCCTGCAGACCTGCCCTCGAGGTGGTTGTTTGACAATCATCCGGAAGCTGCGAGGACATGAATTTCGGTTTTTCAACCTTCCATCCTTAATCCTGTTCACAGCCCTGAGATTTCCTGGAGGTCTCCCATCCCCAGTTCGCAAAGTTCTCGCTCTGCGTCCTGGGAGGATTTGTCCCGCCCGCTCCTTGCCGAGCGAGAAAGCGACCCAATCACAGACGACTGCAAATTCGGTCCCCTCCTCCCGGAGGTCCCCGTGATGACGTCACAGAGGAGGAGCCACCGGATTCGCTTTCTTCCGCTCCGGAAGCGGCGGGGACTAAGGGGAGATGCTCACGGGCGGTGCTGCGTCGCCGGAGCGCTTCAGAAATGGGCAAGAAGGAGCGAGGTAAGCCGTCGGCGCTTTCCTGGGACGCCCTTCGGCTTTGTCACCTTAGAATTGGAAGCTGTTTCGCTTCTGTGTTCGGGGAGCCAGGCTCGTCTTCGGGGCGTTGCTTCTTCGACGGGGAAGTCCTTCAAGAGCTGGCGCCGTTGGGTTTCCCTCGTAGTCTTCCTCGCGAACCAAATGCCGGTTCTCTTATTCTTACAAAACGTACGCGCAGCTTTGCAGCGGTGATGCATTTGGCGACTAAACAGCATGTCCTTGTTTGAGATAAATCGGTGCTTCACGTACTCGACTTGTTCTCTCTTTAAAGCGAGACATTGTTTTTGCACACTCATCTCTCCCCCCCCTTTTTTTTTGCTATAACCCAGTATAAGCCATTTTGTACGTATACACTTTCCCATGGAAAAATCTTCATATGCTCTCTGAATTATGGCAAGTCCTTGAATGAGATTTACGATGCAGTATCTCTTGTGACGTTTTTATTTTCTCTTGTTTAGAGAAAAACATTCTCGGAGTTAATAAGCCTAACTTTAATTGAATCTAAAGGAAAGCTGGTAATAATTTGTATAGCTGTATGTTTTGTCCTTGAATATTAACTAGGAAGTGGGAAGAAGCCTTGGAACAGCTAAAGCAATCCTTCCCAGCCTGGTTCACCTTAAGTGATCCCTATCTGTATACAAGAACAGCTACTTCTGAAGCCAGTACACCATGCTGACATTCATGGTTCCCTCAAAGTTTTGCATCAGGAAATAGCTCCATTTGTGTTGTCATTTGGCTGAAGGGAAAACAGTTGTGCAACTGCATGTGTGTTTAACTACGGTTGGTTTTCCAGATAAGAAGAAATCGAAAAAACGCCACTATGAGGAGGAAGAGGAAGAAGAATATGACCTTACAGGCAAAGAGTCCCAAGAAGCAGTTCCATCAGCTGCAGGGAAGCAAGTGGAAGATTCTGGGACCAAAGTTGATGAATATGGTGCAAAAGACTACAGGAACCAGATGCCACTCAAAGCTGATCATTCCTCACGCCCATTGTGGGTGGTAAGTCCTTTTAGATGCATTGCTTTTCAAAAAAAGTTTTGTTCAAAAAAAAGAAAATATATAGCTTATTGTTTCCTACCTGCTAGCTTCTAAATGTGATCCTATAAATAGTATCTCCATACCTATTTGATTCATGTGACAATGAGACCCAAGTTCTCTCTGCATTTCACATTATACATATTCATCTATTTTAAAGGAGCTGGAAGGAATGTTTGTTGTATGTTAGGCCCTTTTATTATAAGGTACCTAATTTTTGTGTAATTGTGATTGGTGTGTAGAGAGAGAGAATTAATTTCAAAAAGTCACCCATGTAAGCAGAAAGAATACTTTTGCTCTATGGATGAATTTTCTACGATGTTATATCAAACTTTTTATTCATTCTTTGAGTAGTCTTGTGAGAAATATCACTCTCCTCTTCAGATGGTTTGGAGATGTCATTTATGTTCAGAGTGTCTTTTTAATGACTCAGTTTAAGAACCTGCAGTCCATGCCACTTCAGCCAGCATAGTCAATAATGAGAGATGCTGGGGACTTCCGGTGGCAGGCGACCTCGTTGGAAGCAGCTGTTTGCTGCCTCCCGCCTGTTTCAGCGTAAAAGCCGTTTTGACAGCTAGCATCAGCTGTAGAACGGCTTGATACCTTTCCCCTGGGCATAAGGGGATAGGTGAGCTGCCCGGGGTAGGAGTTGAGTTCCCGAGTCGTCCCATGTGGACGATGTAGGTGAGAACTCCTCCGGAGCCCCGAGGCTTCTCCGCGATCCAGGACGCCTTCGCTTCGGCGAAGCTAGAAGCCGCTGCCACTGCTGCAACTTAAATTGAACTGTGA